AAACAGAAATTATTATTGTTTTAGGAATAAAACTGTTCAGTTACTACAAGAAAATATGACGTTCCAAAGATCTTGTTTATAATTTAAGTTAAAACGACATTGCAACAAAATATTTTGTCAGAGAGTTCTACTTTTGCTCCACGTTTTAATTTGAAGTATTAAGGTACAAGATACAAGTGTTTGCTTAACAATTATACTATAATAGACTAACAAAACGTCGGGGAGTTTTTAAAACAAAGTTTCAAGGTGGAATGAGGTGTTACAGATCCAAATCTTGAAGTCTCACCTAACTCCATCCTGCTTGACTTCTGCCAATAAACCGATTCAAGTAAATTTACTTTAGGGTGTGATCGATCAGCCAAGTGATACTACTAATGCAGTCAAGCAAATTTTAGTCTATCTTTGTCACACTTTGTGATAGAAACTGATCAAACCCATAGAAAAAATGCCTGGACCTTTAAAGCACACTAAACAAAAAAAATTTTTATCAGCAGTACACACTTTTAAATGAACAAAAGGGTTCACAGACTGATCTTATAGCAGAATGTTTTTAACGTTCGTTGTGACGTTAGAAATGTTCATTTATAATTCTTCACAAAAACACCTGTTTTGGTGCTTTGAAGACCACAGAAAACTATGAATTACCGAACAACAAGAACTTTCATATATCCAAACAACCACAGGAGCACAAAAATGTAACAATAATCATTAATATATATATTTTTACGTCGTGTAGAACCTATAGTTTTTTATTTGAAATAATGTATTCGATATATTAACTTCTGAATATATAATATCTATATCGTTTGCAATAGTTGTTCAGTAATCTCTGAAACACAGAAATTATTATTGTTTTAAGAATAAAGAAAACTACAAGAAAATATGACGTTCCAAATAACTTGTTTATAATTTAAGTTAAAACGACATTGCAACAAAATATTTTGTCAGAGAGTTCTACTTTTGCTCCACGTTTTAATTTGAAGTATTAAGGTACAAGATACAAGTGTTTGCTTAACAATTATACTATAATAGACTAACAAAACGTCGGGGAGTTTTTAAAACAAAGTTTCAAGGTGGAATGAGGTGTTACAGATCCAAATCTTGAAGTCTCACCTAACTCCATCCTGCTTGACTTCTGCCAATAAACCGATTCAAGTAAATTTACTTTAGGGTGTGATCGATCAGCCAAGTGATACTACTAATGCAGTCAAGCAAATTTTAGTCTATCTTTGTCACACTTTGTGATAGAAACTGATCAAACCCATAGAAAAAATGCCTGGACCTTTAAAGCACACTAAACAAAATTTATCAGCAGTACACACTTTTAAATGAAGAGCTTCCTATATCCGAATGACAGGATTAAAATGCAATAACTAAGGAAATAAATTGATTAAATTATTAAACATATAAGAAATGCATTTAAAGAAAAATATTATTTAAAAAAACTTACAAATTACAAAATTGTAATAAAATTACAAAGAAATTCAGGGGGAAAAAACTTCGTTTGAAATTCGCCAAGTTAACATTTTTGTTGTAGGTACTTTATTTGTTATTGTGCTCTTTGAATATTTCAGGGTAACTCGTTCCCAAAAATATTGATTATTGATTATTGGAAGGCGTAATGCAATTTAAAATAATCATTTGTCATTATGGCCGAGATACATTTTGAAGAGATTATTTCTGACAAAAATTTCTCAATCTAAAGTGTAAATGGCTATTTCATGATATAAAATATACAGATACATCATTATAATGCAACCGGTGCACACACTTATTAAGCAATTGTGTTTGTCGACTCACACTCTTAGAAATGCAGAAATAAAATATTGAGTGTCTATGGCTTTCCTAGTCTCTATTTGGATATCGACAGCTTTAATATTTCATACTATGTGAGCCACAGGGTACGTCTAGCTCTTTTGAATATTCGAGCGAAAATTAAATCAGGGTCTGCTCTCTAATAATTTATTCAGCAAGTACAATGTTACATTATAGGCTCCTAGACATTATTCAGAGAATCAAACACTGTTATTATAGAACAGTACAAAACTTTACCCCCTAAAGAATTCCGTTTCTGTTGAGTAGATTTTAAATATGCAGTATGAGCAACCTCTCAACCGACGCAGGCCCACACAAATAATTACAATTAGAAAATCTGTATAAAATGTGTCATTTTACAACAAAGGCAAATATGTTTCTAGGTGCAGCATTTGGTTAAAACATTTTTACAATTTAAACAGGCCACTTCCTGAAATCTCACTGAAATGCTTTTCCCCCTTATATTTATATATCGAAAAAGGTTTGATTCACATTATCAAAAGTATGTACAATCTCATTCACCATGTGTTTGGCACGTTTATATCATTTAACCCGATAAACCATTGACATTCTTTCCTAACTTTATCATTTATCGCCTTTTTCATCTTATGTCTACTTTTAGCAAATATAATAACTTGTAAATATATCGACAGGTAGGTAAAGGCACTGTATAGGCTGCAATATACTTTGTGCCAATATCATAAATGTAACGATATGCAAAAAAAATTATCATAAAACTGACTGAACGATGTTCTCGCAAACACATCAGCTGTTACCGTTCATCTCTATATACATTAAACCGCATTCAATTATCCTGTCATAGCAAAGCAGAGCATGATTTTGTAAATAGCAAGGAACAAATCAATGCAATAATCAATTGTGGTTGTGTCCAGATATATGAGCCAGAAATATCTGAACCCTTTTGGTCGTGTATAGCACACACGGCCGCCACATAACATTATCGTATCACTGACTCTTGAGTTCATTCAGATGTTTGGAATTAATATAGCCTTCAAAAATAGCCTACAGTGAACATTGGAGTTAAGGATTATGTTGCATATGGCCAAATACCAACTAGTTACTACTTCACAACTACTTAAAATCTACACAATATCACATTTTAAGTGTATGAGAATAGAAATAGTGATGGCACCGCGAGTAAAAATCTGCCAGGCTGCAGCAAACAGATTTGTGAGCGGCCTAATTTATTTTCAGTAACACTGATTGCAAGGATCAATAAGAAAACAGCAATCCCAAAGGACAAGGCTGTTTTTTCTAATGTCATGGTCCTATTCATAATTATAATTTCCTATCTGGATATTTGCAGTGAGGCTAAATGAAGTTAAGCTAATAGTTGTATTGTTGCTTTTGGTCTTTAACACACACAAAGATAACTGTTTTGCTGTTCCTCATCCAGCATTAAGATCCAATGAAATTCGACCGAAAAGAAAGTGGTCTTTTTCTATTTAGCCTATAAATATATCGATGTTTTTCTTCCGTTTTATTTATTGACGGCAATAAATATAGTCAAATAAATGAGTGGGCCTAGTCAGTGACAATGGGGATTCACCCTTCGTGAGTCCATTCTTAGAGAAAACAAATATATTACATTTATTGCCCATCCCATTCTAAATGATCGATGTATTGATCGATGACTGAGTGCATTAATAATAGGCGTGAACCGGAAGGGATCATCTGGGGAAAAAAAACAATAACAGCTAAATATTGTCATATTCATTTCATCAAATTAATTTTAGCAGTGTTAACTATTATCTTATAAAACTATTATCCTAACTATTATCTTATAACATTTTAAATACATAGGCTGTAATCTCACTACTTTTGGAGTAACCATATAGGCCTACAGTGTTTTTTATAAGTAGAACAGGCCTACTAATAAGTAGCCTAGCTGAAAACTGAAGACTAGTGAATCACAAAGCCAGGCCTGTATGTAAATGTAACAACTAAGTATAAAAAAAATCAATGTAATACATTTGCATGTTATCCTTATCCATGCAGCATCATGGAAATACAAAACAAATATCTCGTTGAAGCTTGTCTAATGAAATTGTATGCAGCCTAAAACTTGAGTGAATATGAAGTTTGACTTTCCCCCCTTTTTTGCCTCACTTTCTTTCTCTGTTTTAATACGTTTGTTTATTTATTTTTTTCGGCTATTCAGCTTGCCAATAATTACATCTCATGAGTTTCTGCCACAACATAAATCCTTATAAAACTGCAAATAGCCCATTTGGCTGATAATTACATTTCTTTAAACTTTCAAACGTTTAACACAAATATGATATAATTAATCATGTGATCTCATGTCGTTCAAACGGAATTTGACTATCTTATCTACTTTGGGTTTGGGAAATCCATTCATATTTAACCATTAAGATGTTGCGCGCTGGCGCCAAGTTAAGCAACTTTATCAGGAGAAACCGATGAATCATGTCCATGAAGGAATCCCCAATCATTCAAAACAACACCGCTAGTGTCAAAGTGTGCATGATGTCACGCCATATATGTAAAAAAACAAACAAACTCGATTTCGCTCTCTAATTTAACGACAGCAGAGGGGCGAATTGTGAGAGCATAAGTGAATCACCCGTATTAGGTGTCTCTCGTCTGTACAACAGACAGTATTGGTGACATCAGCCATAGTCTGAAGCAGAGTGAGTGTACACCCTTTAAAAAAGGCTTTTACACCTTGATGAAGTTTCACAAGTATATTTTATTCTTTAGTTCTTTAGAAAACGTCTACTGGCGCTTTAAACAAACCAAAAACCAATAGGCTCAAGAACTTGTATAATGAAACAAGACTTTTTTTGAGCTACAAAACTACCTCAAGATTCCCACATAACCAATTTTTTTTCCTGACTAGAAAAAACGTCTCTTTGCTGAACCTAAGTATCCCCGAAGAACCTTTATTTTGTGCGGTGCGCGCAACCGTGCACACAGGCACAGCACATCTTAATATATTGCGCGGTCACGAGGCAGACACTCTCACTCGGTCAGCTTCGACAGTCAGTAGTAAGACGAGCGCCACGGCGATAGATACAAGCGTTTAGACACCAGGCGTCCGTACATGTGCGTGGTGAAATGCTGGATTGACTAACACTGAAGATCTTGGGGATCAATGGCGCGCGGCTTTGAGATCGTTTAAAATTTATTGGAAGGGAGAGTGTAGGGAAGAGAGAGAGAGAGAGAGAAGAAAACAGTGTCTTTCAACAATGGAACTTACAATGGAAAACATTGGGAATCTGCACGGCGTGTCACACTCCCATCAAACGGGGGACTTGATGAACTCTCCACACACGCGACAGTCGGCGACACATAGGAACTTGGTGTCATCGCATGGGAGGTCAGCGATGGTGTCCAGCATGGCCTCGATACTTGACGGGGCTGGGGAGTATCGCACGGACCATTCGCTGTCCGGTCCTCTGCATCCAGCGATGGCCATGTCGTGCGATTCGAGCATGAGCCTGAGCAGCACTTACACCACCCTGACGCCGCTGCAGCACCATCTGCCTCCCATATCCAACGTCTCAGAGAAATTTCACCACCACCCGCACCCTCACGCTCATCACCATCCCGCGCACCAGCGTCTCGCCGCCGGGAACGTAAGCGGCAGCTTCACGCTGATGCGGGATGACCGGGGCCTCGCGTCTATGAGTAACCTATACGGCCACTACTCCAAAGACTTGTCCGGGATGGGACCACCTTTATCGCCTCTTTCTAACGGCCTTGGGTCTTTGCACAACTCTCAGCAGACTCTGAGTGCGTACGGTCCGACTGCTCACCTGGGGAACGACAAGATGATTTCTACGGGAGGCTTCGAGACTCACGCTGCGATGCTCGGCCGCGGCGAGGAGCACCTGGCGCGGGGTTTAGGAGGCCACGGGGCGGGCATCATGTCTTCTCTCAACGGCATCAACCACCACCACCACCACCACAGTCACTCACACTCTCAGGCGAACGGGTCGGTGCTGTTGGAGCGGGACAGGCAGACAGCAGGATGCGGCGGACAGGGTGGTGGGTCAGGGCAGGTGGAGGAGATCAACACTAAAGAGGTGGCTCAGCGGATAACGGCGGAGTTAAAGAGGTACAGCATCCCACAGGCCATCTTTGCCCAGAGGATCTTGTGTCGCTCTCAAGGAACTCTCTCGGACCTCCTGCGGAATCCCAAACCCTGGAGTAAACTCAAGTCAGGTCGGGAGACGTTCAGACGGATGTGGAAGTGGCTGCAGGAACCCGAGTTCCAGCGCATGTCGGCCCTTAGGCTTGCAGGTGAGTGAGGGTCACTGAAGTTTCCTCGTGCAAAAGAGGAAATCAAAACAATCACACAAAATCTTGTTTTGTGTGAACATAAAAAAAATGTTTTACTCTTATCTCCTTCCATATTCAATAAGGTAATCAATTCACTGTGCATGGACCCACAAATATTCTTTGTTCTTAATAGTTGTGCTTGACATCTCATATTTCACCTAAAGGCGTCTGAAAGACAATAAAATTACAGACGATAATGATTAAAACGTTTAGAAAGCAGACAAACAAGCCGTGTATCCTTAAATTAAATAAACAAGTATTTTAGCGACATCTAAAATTATTCCACTGATTATATTTGCTGATAATATATTTGCTGAGCAAATGTAGGTACATAATTATAGCCACTGTCAAATTATTAGAATGTGTTTAAGACTGAAGGCAAGAGAAATCAGTTAGCCCGTGTAAAAAATAAAAAAATAACATACTCCATCTGTGGCCTATTGTAGGTGTTTATGTTTGTTGAAAGGCCTAATGTATCATGACTTGCAGGTCAATACAGTACAATTAAAAACTGATATTTATTTTTCAAAATATTTCTTTCTAAATAATTTTATTCCATTGACTTCAAAAGACATTAGCAAAAATTAGTTTTGCACCAACCTGTCACCTATAGCTACTCAGCTTCATTTATTTTCCTTTTCCTTCTAACTAAAACAGTACAGACAAATGTGCAATCTTGACCTGGTATTCACTCAAAAGGAATTGTGTAAAACTGAATAAAAAGTGTGTGTACTGGACATTACCTTGGCATAGCGGACGCTGACCCGTCCAAACCTATCACCTCACGTCGTATTTCAGTTGTGGGTTCAATTAAGCAGGATATAGTGGCATATTTTAGTTCCAGTCAATGCCCCGTTGAAAAGCACTTAATGGAATGTAAATTGTTCCTTTGCGCATTTAAAGTTGTTCTGGTAAATAAAGATTTAAACGCTATTCAGTTGTCCTCTTAAGTACCGTTGCTGTTAAAGCTAATTGGGCATCGAGATTTTTATTCCCATCCACACCCTATTAAAAGGAAGTTACCCTAAACGGAAGACAAACTCTATACTGCTACAGGTAGTAACTTAGATGTTTCGGGCAACTTAGCTTTTACACTTTACAATGCGTCCATATTAACAACGATATGATGCTATCATTACACACGCACTTTAAAGTGTGACCCTTTAAATAATGTTTATATATATATATATTTTTTTTTTATCCTCAATAGGCTGCATTTATTTTTTAAAAAACAGTAAAAATAGAAATAA